TGAAATGTGAGAAAATACTTGAAAATCATATATCTGATAAGGGATTAATATCCAGAATATATAAAATACTCCCAAAACTCAACAGCAAAAATCAAACAACTTGATTCAAAAATGGGCAAAGGGATTTGAATAGATATTTCACCAATGAAGATAAGCAAATGGCCAATAAAGACATGAAAATATGTTCAACATCAATGATATTTATGGAAATGCAAAATCAAAACTACAATGAGATACCACTTCACACTCATTAGAGTGGCTATAATTAAAAAAAAAAAAGAAAATGACAAGTGTTGGCAAAGTTGTGGAAAAATTGGAGCACCGTTGGTGGGATTGTAAAATTGTGCAATGATAACAAAAACAACATGGTAGTTCATTAATTAAAAGCGGTTGGGGCACCTGGCTGGCTGAGGCAGGGGAGCATGTGACACTCAATCTGGGGATCATGAGTTTGAGCCCCAAATGGGGTACAGAGATTGCTTAAATAAAACTTCTAGGGGAGGGGCAAGATGGCGGAAGAGCAGGGTCCCCAAATCACCTGTCCCCACCAAATTACCTAGATAACCTTCAAACCATCCTGAAAATCTACGAATTCGGCCTGAGATGTAAAGAGAGACCAGCTGGAACGCTACAGTGAGAAGAGTTCGCGCTTCTATCGAGGTAGGAAGACGGGGAAAGAGAAATAAAGGAACAAAAGGCCTCCGAGGGGGAGGGGCACCGCGAGGAGCCGGGCTGAGGCCTGGGCGAGTGTCCCCAGGACAGGAGAGCCCCGTCCCGGAGGAGCAGGAGCTGCACCAACCTTCCCGGGCGGAAAGGGGCTCGCAGGGAGTTGGAGCAGGACCCAGGAGGGCGGGGATGCCCTCGGGCTCCCGGGGACACTAACAGACACCTGCGAGCGCAGGAGAGTGCGCTGAGCTCCCTAAGGGCTGCAGCGCCCGCACAGCGGACCGGAGCCCGGAGCAGCTCGGAGGGGCTCGGGAGCTGCTCCAGGGAGGGAGCTGCAGGGCGGGAGCGCGAATCCAACAGCGCAGGCCCCGGAGCACAGGGCGCCGGGACACAGCCCAGGATCCCGCCTCCCCCTGGGACAGGCAGAGGCCCGGAGGGCCCAGGACAGCGAGGACGCTCCTGCCCCGAGCTGAGCAGATCAGCGGCCCCGCCCGGAGCCTCCAGGCCCTGCAGACGGAGAACCGAGAGCCCCGAGCCCCGTTGTTCCTGCGGAGGCTGAATCCAGGCTTCCAGAGTTGCCATAGCAACTGCGGCTGATCCTCCCGGGGCCCCACGGGGTGAACAACCCCCGCTGAGCCCGGCAGCAGGCAGGGGCAGAGCAGCTCCCCCAAGTGCTAACACCTGAGAATCAGCACAGCAGGCCCCTCCCCCAGAAGACCAGCTAGACGGACCAGTGATACTCCCCCGTGTTCCAATACAACTTGTTTTTGGCCACTCTGCACTGAGCAAAATGACTAGAAGGAAAACCTCACCTCAAAAGAAAGAATCAGAAACAGCCCTCTCTCCCACAGAGTTACAGAATCTGGATTACACTTCAATGTCAGAAAGCCAATTCAGAAGCACTATTCTACAGCTACTGGTGGCTCTAGAAAAAAGCATTAAGGCCTCACGAGACTTCATGACTGCAGAATTTAGATCCAATCAGGCAGAAATTAAAAATCAATTGAATGAGATGCAATCCAAACTAGAAGTCCTAACGACGAGGGTTAACGAGGTGGAAGAACGAGTGAGTGACATAGAAGACAAGTTGATGGCAAGGAGGGAAACTGAGGAAAAAAGAGATAAACAATTAAAGAACCATGAAGACAGATTAAGGCAAATAAATGACACTCTAAGGAGGAAAAACCTACGTTTAATTGGGGTTCCCGAGGGCGCCGAAAGGGACAGAGGGCCAGAATATGTATTTGAACAAATCCTAGCTGAAAACTTTCCCAATCTGGGAAGGGAAACAGGCATTCAGATCCAGGAAATAGAGAGATCCCCCCCTAAAATCAATAAAAACCGTTCAACACCTCGACATCTAATAGTGAAGCTTGCAAATTCCAAAGATAAAGAGAAGATCCTTAAAGCAGCAAGAGACAAGAAGTCCCTGACTTTCATGGGGAGGAATATTAGGGTAACAGCAGACCTCTCCACAGAGACCTGGCAGGCCAGAAAGGGCTGGCAGGATATATTCAGGGTCCTAAATGAGAAGAACATGCAACCAAGAATACTTTATCCAGCAAGGCTCTCATTCAAAATGGAAGGAGAGATAAAGAGCTTCCAAGACAGGCAGGAACTGAAAGAATATGTGACCTCCAAACCAGCTCTGCAAGAAATTTTAAGGGGGACTCTTAAAACTCCCCTTTAAGAAGAAGTTCAGTGGAACAATCCACAAAAACAAGGACTAAATAGATATCATGATGACACTAAACTCATATCTGTCAATAGTAACTCTGAACGTGAATGGGCTTAATGACCCCATCAAAAGGCGCAGGGTTTCAGACTGGATAAAAAAGCAGGACCCATCTATTTGCTGTCTACAAGAGACTCATTTTAGACAGAAGGACACCTACAACCTGAAAATAAAAGGTTAGAGAACCATTTACCATTCAAATGGTTCTCAAAAAATACCCTAAAAACTATAGAACACTTCTGAAAGAAATTGAGGAAGACACAAAGAGATGGAAAAATATTCCATGCTCATGGATTGGCAGAATTAATATTGTGAAAATGTCAATGTTACCCAGGGCAATTTACACGTATAATGCAATCCCTATCAAAATACCATGGACTTTCTTCAGAGACTTAGAATAAATTATTTTAAGATTTGTGTGGAATCAGAAAAAACCCCAAACAGCCAGGGGAATTTTTAAAAAAGAAAACCGTATCTGGGGACATCACAATGCCAGATTTCAGGTTGTACTACAAAGCTGTGTTCATCAAGACAGTGTGGTACTGGCACAAAAACAGACATATAGATCAACGGAACAGAACAGAGAACCCAGAAGTGGACCCTGAACTTTATGGTCAACTAATATACGATAAAGGAGGAAAGACGATCCACTGGAAGAAAGACAGTCTCTTCAATAAATGGTGCTGGGAAAATTGGACATCCACATGCAGAAGAATGAAACTGGACCACTCTCTTGCACCATACACAAAGATAAACTCAAAATAGATGAAAGATCTAAATGTGAGACAAGATTCCATCAAAATCCCAGAGGAGAACTCAGGCAACACCCTTTTTGAACTTGGCCACAGTAACCGGAGAAGGACAAACAGTGTATGTTCTCATTCATTTGGGGAATATGAATAATAGTGAAAGGGAATATAAGGGAAGGGAGAAGAAATGTGTGAGAAATATCAGAAAGGGAGACAGAACATAAAGACTTCTAACTCTGGGAAATGAACTAGGGGTGGTGGAGGGGGAGGAGGGCGGGGGGTGGGGGTGAATGGGTGACGGGCACTGAGGGGGACACTTGACGGGATGAGCACTGGGTGTTATTCTGTATGTTGGTAAATTGAACACCAATAAAAATTAATTTATAAAAAAAAATAAAAAAATAAAACTTCTAATTAATTTTAAAAATTAAAAATAGAACTTACAAATGATCCAGCAACCCCACCTATTGGTATATATCCAAAGGAGTTATAATCAAGGTATCAAAAAGATACCTGCAGACACATCTTCATAACAATTATTCACAGCAGCCAAAAGCTGGAAGCAATCCGAATCTCCACAGATGGACAAATAGATAAACAAAATGTAGTATATATATACATATATTACGTACATACATATCATTCAGCCTTAAAAAGGAAGGAAATCCTAAAACATGGATAAACCATGAGGACATTATGCAAAGGGAAATATGCCAACCACATAAATGCAAATATGACAGTCACAGAAATGCAAATACTATATGATACCACTTCAATGAAGTATCCAAAGTAGTCAGATTTGTAGAAACAAAAAGCAAAATGGTGGTCACCAGGGCCTACAGGAAGGGACACAGGAATAAATAGGGAGTTAAGTGGGTGTACGGTATCAATTTTACAAGCAGAAAAAAATTTGGAGATCTCTTGCACAATAAGGTGAATATATTTAATACTACTGAACTGTATACTTTATTTTTTCAAAGATTTTATTTATTTATTCATAGAGACACACAGAGAGAGAGAGGCAGAGATACAGGCAGAGGGAGAAGCAGGCTCCACGCAGGGAGCCTGACGTGGGACTCGATCCAGGGTCTCCAGGATCACGCCCTGGGCTGCAGGCGGCGCTAAACCTATGCGCCACCGGGGCTGCCCTGAACTGTATACTTTAAAAATGGTTTTAACATGGTTTAAAAAAAAAATACACAGAGTATAGTCCTAAGAGTTTTTGGCCTTTAATAAAGTTTGTTTTTTCAAATATATTTTTCACAACTTCAGGATGCTTTGCAATTTTTCTAAACAATGCCCTAAGTTGCCAATTTTAAAGTTTGCTCTGTACATCTGTATGAGTGGGAGTAGCAAACTCTCTATACACTTTATTGGAAAATATACATTCTTGTAACAGATACGTTACTTTTTTGCTTTCAAAATGTGTTCTACAGGTGGAGTATAAAATAATTCACTTCTCACAGTTTTCCAATATAATAAAGTATTCCAGTAGTTGGTTAACAACAACAACATTGTTTGATTAATAAAATGCTGGTTAAAAACACTATGAGAAAGTTGTAAATGAATTTTTAAAATGTGAACTTCAAAACATTATTCAATTATCAGATGTGAACTTGAAAATATTAATTATTCAGTTATCAAATTCCCCTGGTTGAGCTAAGTGCCAGAATGACAGAAGTCATATGGGGACTAGGACTACAAGTTTTCCATTGTGCACTATATAGTTAATTGACAAATTTTTTCAAAGTTTCATTGGGATATGCAAAAGTTTTCCTGTAATCATACTTAAAAGGAGTTAGCAGAAATGTTATCTGATTTTGACTCATATCTTGATCATTTTTTAACAGAACTCCTGGGGCCTTTGGACAGAGGAGATATGCTAAATGAAGCTTTTGTTGGTTTATCTTTACCTCCTCAAGGAGAAGACAAATTTCCAGATAACCTCCCTCCCTTTTGTTCAGTCCATAAACATATTCAACAAAGAACACTGAATGACTCTTCTAATAGGTAAGATATGTTGAATCAAGAAAAGTGCTCCACAGAATACTTAGTACTAAATTTAAATATTCCCTGTTTAAATGCAAACTAATAGTTAAGCAAGAATTTTTCAAAATGTCAAAGAAAAAAGTGTGCATTTTCTCATGGCAATGACTTTGCAGTAGTTTGGTCATGCGAAAGCAGGTACAATGGAAGAAGAATCGAATGTAAACAAAATATTGTTAGAATGTTATTCCAGACCAACATGAACATGAAATTACTATAACAGATCAAATTCTAATTTTATTCTGTTGTTAAATTTCAGAATTGTTAGATTATTAGATTAAGACATTAATTTTTGGTATATTTAGTTTGAATTGTAATTCATATGATCGTACTTATGAATTTTGCCATTAGTTTCTGAAATCTGATAAATGATAACTTCATACCTATCCAGCTGAGTATATGGGTTATTGAGAAAATAAACAGAATAATTGTGAAATAAAAATACTGGTCAAAGTAATATCATTTATAATGATAATTATGTTAGTTACCATTATAATTTGCTCTGAAGCAAAGGCCAACAAACTTTATGTAAAGCACCAGATATTAGGCTTTGTGGCTCCTACAGACTCTGGCACAACACTCAACTCCACCACTGTAGTATGAAAGCAGCCATAGACAGTATATAAATAAGTTAGAGTGGCCATTTACAATAAAATTTTATTTACAAAAACAGGTGGTGGGCAGGATTTGGCCCCTGTTCTGCAGTTTACATACCTGCTCTTGAGGATCTCAACTATATGCAATAATCATGAAGAGGCCGTATTTTTTATATAATCATATGAAATATAGGTCATATATTTCTTATTAATTATACATATATACTCTTAAATATCCTTGAGGAAAATGCCTCAAACTACATAGTTTGATTAGTAGTAAATAAAGGAGCAGAGTTTCCAGGTTTGGTGGAGTTCAGAGGTAAATAAATCCTCTCCCCAAGAAACAGTTATAAAGCTGGACAAAAACTGCCATTTCCAAGCTCTGAAAATCAAATAGGGGCAAACAATTTGATAAGCATTAAACTTCTAGTAATAAAGGAGGAATCTGATATTCTGGGGCTGTTCGCATCCCCTCATGCCCCCAAGCTAGTTCAGCCTTGTAGTTCTACTAGGGTGGGACAGGCTGCGAAGAACAAACAGCAGCTAAGTTGATTTGCAGCTGAGAGTGGAAAAACCCTGCACAGCAAAAGAGCAAACTGTTGGTAAATATAACAACTTTGATAGAAAATGAAGAGGGGAAGCCACGGTTCTACTAGCCAGCTTAGGTCAAGTGACAGAATGGTAGGCTAGCCAAAAATTTAACAGGAAGATCCTGGAATAAGAGAGTGAAAGAAGGTCTAGTGAAGCTCTCTACACATTCCTGATGGAGCTGTATGACTTCTGATTTTTTGGCTCTCTTTTATTTTGCAGGACCCTAAATTTTCCCCTTTTGCTTCTTTCTTCCTTCACACCCAACTGCCAGAAGGTGTCTCTCCCTTTTTGCCCTTTATCACCCACCCAACTCCCCCCCACAGAAGATGTACATTAAAAAAAAATTATCCCTTCAAACTGCATGGTATAGTTTATGTTCTAATCCACAAGAATACCAGGAATTTAGAGATCATGCACTGGGATCTGGCATTTTTTCCATTTGATTTACAATTGTTTGCAAGTTCTCTGTCAAGTCATACTGAAGGTGGGGCTTTCAGTAGTTTCTTTTCTTCTCTTATTATGTTCTGTATCATTATAGAGAAGTACTAAGAGACAGAAAGGAAAGCAGCGACTATTATCTTCAACTACCTGGAAGTCCTACTTCTTTATTTACTTTTTTAAAAACAGTTTTACTGGGGTATAATTTACATGCACCATAAAATTTGCCCCTTGTAAGTATAGAGTTCAATGATGTTTGCTAAATTTATAAAGTTTTCAACTACCACCACAGAGTGGTTTTAGAACATTTCCATTGCCACAGAGTTCCCTTGTGCCAATTTACAGTCCATTTCTACTCCTACCTCCAGTGTGAGCCACTAACTGGTCTGCTTTCTGCCTCTAGAGGAATTTCATATAAATGAAATCATACAGTCTAGAAAGTTCATATAAATGAATTCATACAATACGTTGTCTCTTGTGTCAGGCTTCTTGCACTTAGCGTTATGGTTTCTGAGGTTCATACATGTCATAGCATGTTATTTATTCCTTTTTCATTTCTGAATAGTGTTCCATTGTATGGATATTATCAAATTTTGTTTAACTCCTCACCAGTTGCTCAACATTTTTCATTACTTCCAGATTTGGGCTATTAGGAATAATGGTGCTATAAATATTCACATATAAGTCTTCAAAGGGACAGACGTTTTCATTTCCCTTGGGTAGGTATCTAGGAGTAAAATTGCTAGATCATATTGTAAGTTTATCTTTATCTTCTTAGTTTTTAGAAACTTCCAAATTGTTTTTCCAAAGTGACTATAACATTTTACATACCCATCAGCAATATACAGGGCTCCAGTTTCTCCAGATCTTCACCTGTGGCTGGTATTGTCAGTGTTTTTTATTTTAGTCATCCTATTGGGTATAGACTAGCATCTCATGATTTTAATTTGCATTTCCCTAGTGACTAATGATGTTGAGCATTTTTATATGATTATTAGTCATTAGTGTATCTTCTTTGGTGAAATATCTATTCAAAACTTTGTCCATTTTTAAAATAAGTTCTCTTATTATTGAATTATAAAACCTCTCTTAACTGTAAGTCCTTAATCAGATATATAATTGCAAATATTTTCTCCCAGTCTGTGACTTGCCCTTTCATTTTTCTAACAGTGTCTTTTGAAGTGCAAAAGTTTCAAATGTTGGTAAAACAGTTTAGTTATGGTTTCTTTTATTGATTTTGCTTTTGTTTTGTATGTAAGAAATTTTTTTCTAACTTAAAAATCACAAAAATTTTCTCTTTTGTTTTCTTCTGGAAGTTTTATAACTTTGGCTCTTACACTCAAGTCCATTTTAAGTTGATTTTTATGTATGATGTGATATAAGGGTCTAAGTTCATTATTTTATACATGAAAATCCAATTGCCTTTATACCTTTGTCAAAAATCAGTTGATCATAGGTATAAAGATTTATTTCTGGATTTGCAATTCTGTTCCTTTAGTCTGTATATCTACCCTTACACAAACAAATGCCAGACTTAACCATACTGAGGGCTCCACTGAACCAGAATCTCCCAAAATACATTCCAATACCAAAACAATAAACAGGAAAATGATTAATAGTTCTATATAGTTACTTCAAAGAAAAATAAAATGAAACTAAGACATATCAATTGAGAAAAATTCTTCTCCCTCAAAACAACCATGAAGTAGAAGAAAACTGTATAATACTCCATGCAAAATTAAATATATTCAAATAAACATCTGGGTACATGGAAACCCACTCTGAATTAGAAGGACAAAAACTAAGAGGAAGAGGAGCAGGGAGAAAGTTCACTGCATTCAAGAAAGAAAAGTAAGAGAAATATCTTAGAAATGAAAAATTTAAAAATAAATAAATATATAAATGAAAAATTACAAGGCACCCAAATGGAAATAATCTAAAATTAAGATTTAATAAAAGGCACTGAAAATGGCAGAAAACAAGACAATGAAAAGGAGATAAAGGTAAAAAAAAGAAAAAAAAGACAAGGGAGAAAAGTAATGGAATCAGAGATAAGGCAAAGGAGAAACAGTATTTGTACGATTTGACTCACTGGAAACAATATTTAAAATTATAATCCAGGGAAAATGCTTTAGAAATAAATGTTAAAAAAAAACTTGGATTTACATATCAGAGGATTATACCAAGGGGCACCTGGGTGGTGGCTCAGTTGGTTAAGCATCTACCTTGGGCTCAGGTCATGCTCCCAGTGTCCTGGGATCAAGTCTTGCATCGGACTCCCTGCTCAGCAGAGAGTTGGCTTCTCCCTCTCCCTGCCCTCCCACTCATGCTGTCTCTCAAATAAATAAAATCTCAACAACAAAAAAATCATACCAAGTGCCTGAGAAAAATTATTATAAAAATCAGTTCTAAAACATATCTTAAAATTCTTAGATATCAATGATTAGTTTTTAAAAATCTGCAAGGCCTCCTGGTAGAAAGATCAAATAACTAACAAATGCAGAAGAATTAAACAAGCATCAGTCTTTTCAATGTATACAAGGTAAGGCAAATACAAGGTAAGGCAAAAGTAGATATGTAATTTTTAAAGACTCAATGGAAAGAAGTATAAACTAGTGATTTATAGCTATCCACGCTCTCCTTCAAGTATCAAGGGTAAAGAAAAACAGTTTTCATGAACCCTTCTGGAGGAAGATTATAGAGGAAGAGCCTCATCCAATTATGAGATAACTGGGAAAACTTCTGCAAAATAACTAATTCTGAACATTTTAATACATATAAATGTAGATAGAAGATCAAAACTAGGAGTATCTGGCTCAGTCAGTTGAGTGTCTGACTCTTGGCTTTTGGCTCAGGTTATAATCTCAGGATCCTGGGATCAAGCCTCTGATGGGCTCAACAGTGGGTATGGAGTCTACTTGAGGATTTTCTCTCCGCCTCTCCCTCTGCTCCTCCCCACACTCATGTGTGTGCACATGCTCTAACAAATGAATTAAAAAAAAAAAAAAAGACCAAAAACAGGGAGTGGAGAGATACTGTGTGTTGTAATTAAATAGAAATGATACAACTAAAAAAAAAAAATGATACAACTAAAACAATGAGAGGGGAACAAAGAGTGAAAGAGAAAAGTAGAATAAGGTCACTGACTGCTGTACAGACATAGGTGGGAGCTAAAAGATAACAGTAAACACTGATACATGAGATAATGAAAAGTTAACTAAGAAAAGAAGAGACTAAGGGCATTAGAAAAGATACCTGTACAAAGATAACCACCAAAACTAAACTATAAATCTTCCAAAAAATAGAGTAAAAGAATCACACCCACTTAAGAAATATAAG